TGCTACTTTAAACAAGATAGAATTTACTAGATGTTCACAGGTTTCATAGCAAGAAATACCCCCTTCCCCTCCATTGGGCAAAATGAATGAATGAATTACTGATCACTCCTTTCATTCCTCTGCTCAAGACACAAATTCTTGGTGAGAAGCATGTGATTGGCCCAAATTAGTCTTGAGCCTAATGCTTGGCTAAGGGAGATATTTCCCCTAATTATAGTCCAACCCATACTATATTACCTGGGGAAGAGATAATTCCACAAAAAAACACACCTGTGAGCTATTCATAAGGATGGCCAGAAAACTAATATCCAATCACAGTAACCTATAACAAAACCATCTTGCAACAGGTGGCATTTCACAAATAAATATGAGCAGGACATACATTCTATTCAGTAATTGATAATACTGGCTCCTCAGTTAAAAACAAAAGTGGCAGTCCTCTGAGATAAATCCTGCCAGCTACCATTCAACAGTATCAAGTTGCATATGGTGATACATTCGGCTGATATGTTCTTTGACTCTTGCATTTGTCCTCAAGAGAGTGTCCTTTGGGGAAATAGTCCTTCCAGACCTGATTATTTCTGGGCACAGTCCAGCCAAGTCTCACTGATACTAGCATGTGCTGCTCCTGAAATGTCACAGCTGACTGCCAAGAATACAGACTACAGCATTCAGAAGGTGATCAAACAAGACATGAAACATCTAGGCAGCCAAAAACATGATTCTTGGCAAGAGGAACACGAGGCTCCTATTGCAGAATTGACCCTACTGGAATTCAGGAAAGAGCTTATTGCTGTAGACATGCTGAAATCTGCAGCCAGCAGGAACATCACTGGGTGTGGGGGAGGAGGATTCTTCTCAGATTTGATGGTCTGCTTGAATGGCTCTCTAAGAGCCCAGCAGAAAGGCCAGGTCCACTGGTGTGCTGAATCTGTGGCATCAGGCTCTGCTCAGCCACAACTCCTGCTAGGATTTGTTCCCAGAATTAATCAACACAAAGGAAAAAATTGCATCTGACGTGCTCACACATCTGACCTGGATCCCTCTGAAATTTTGTCCACAGGATGCTTAGTGCTGCTGGAGTGGAATAGTAAATTCTTCTGTCCAATAAATCCTAGAAAGGTGAAAAGCAGTGTGGGGAGATTACAGCCATGGGAAATGAGACACATTTCCTGAACACAGAGCAGACACCATCTTCCTTCCATTCCCACAGCTGCCAAAGAGCTCTAGTTCACAAATCTGAATGGATCTTGCTTGTTCAAAGCTCTTTATTGGCTCCAAAACTTCTGCATAATACAATCAGGTCCATCTCTCTCTAGCTTCCTCCCCCACCAATCCTACATTATGCTTCAGCCATGCTGAACCGACTTCAGGTCCAGAGTAAGTCCTGCTCTGCCCTGCAGGGTACAACTGTGTACCCCCCTGCCTCTGTGAAGAACTCCTAACCTCCCTGTCCGCAGAGCACATTTCTGTCCCTCCTCTGAGCCTCTGCCCAGCTCTGACCTTCTCTGTGAAACCTTCCTCTACTTTTCCAGCCCCCGAGGCTCTATGGGCCTTTCTGCACTACAGCAGTGATTTCACCATCTTGACTCACTCTATATGCAGGTGTATTTATTTTCTCACTGGTCCTATCTATCTACATAACCTACTCTATATCACAGAGGCCCAGCACAAGGCTTATCTTCTGGAAGGTGCTCAAATGTTTGTTGAAGTAGCAAATTAACACTATGTGCATTTTATCTCTGGCAATGTCTAAACCAAAGAAAATCACATTTGTCTTCTCAGAAGAGGGAAGAAATGAGCTTAGGCGGCTCCTCAGCGGGTGGGGGTGGTGGCCATAGCGGTTCCTCCTGGCCCTGTTAATGTCAGGGCCAGGCCCAGGGAGGATGGCACTCTAGAGCCTGGCCTCACCGGGATAGGGGCAGGAGGGGATGGGGTGGGGATCGGCCATGTCGGAGGTGACCTGGAGTCTGCTGCAGCGCTGGGATGCCAATTTTAGAAGAGGTGCCGACTTCGACTCCTGGGGCCAGCTGGTGGATGCGATAGACGAGTATCAGATATTAGCAAGACATCTACAAAAAGAGGCCCAAGCTCAACACAATAATTCTGAATTCACAGAAGAATAAGAAAACCATAGGCAAAATTGCAACATGCTTGGAATTATGAAGTGCAGCTTTACAGTCCACACAGTCCCAATCCTAAAGAATATTCTTACCTATAGTAAAGAATTCCCGTTTGACGTTCAGCTTGTCCCCTTAAGAAGAATTTTAGAACCTGGCGAAGAAGAGAATTTAGAATTTGACAAAGATGAACAAGAAGGTGGTGCGGAGCAGGTTCTCCTGATTCCTTTCCTGCTAGAGTGCCCGGTACTTTATTACCAAGGTTGCCGTCAGAACCAGGAATGACGTCACTCACCATCAGAATTGAGAAAATCAGCCTGAAGGATGCTGGGCAGTGCATTGATCCCTACATCACAGTTAGTGTGAAGCATCTGAATGGCATAGATTTAACTCCTGTGCAAGACACTGCTGTGGCTTCAAGGAAAGAAGATATGTATGTTCATTTTAATGTGGACATTGAGTTCCAGAAGCATGTTGAAAAATTAACCAAAGGTGCAGCTATCTTCTTTGAATTTGAACACTACAGCCCCCAAAAAGATTTACCAGTACCAAGTGTTTCACTTTCATGGAGATGGATGAAATCAAACCTGGGCCCATTGTAAGAGCTATAGCTATACAAGAAATCCACTGACTTTAAAGGAAATTGCAATTACTGTCCAAGAAACTACTTTATCTCCATCTACATCAAACTTTGCACAAGGAATGACCCTGACATGAGTAACCTGGAACTTCTGTAAATGTTACCGCTCACTAGAAACCATCGTAGCTCTGTGTAGAATACTCACCCTTCAACAGGCAGGAAGCCAGCCGTACCCGTGCCAGTGGGCCGGAGGGAGTCCATTGTGAAACTCTGGCACAGAACAGAATTCCATGTCCAGCACGTCACTGACATGTGAGACTCCTTCAGATACAGGTTTATTGTAGGTTTTGAAACATGTTTTTACTTTTCTATCGATTGTGCAATGAATAGTGTCTTTTCTAATTTACCACTACTGCCCTGCTTCCTGGAACACTTGTCGTGGGTAGGACGTGCTCATCTTCAAACTTCTTACAGCAATAAGAATGTACTAGAGTTTACACGTCTGTTCACTTCTGCTCCACTATGCTCTTTTGGTTTTTTAAGTTAATATCAAACTTTGGGCCAATGTGGGTAGGATCATATGAAACTGCTTTGGAGGGTTTGGACCAGTTGTGCTGTCCAAGAAGGAAATTTCTAGGCTGCTCCTCTGAAATGGCCTAAGTTCACCCCCATCTCCTCCTTTTCCTGCCTAGAGTGTGCCTTTGCCAGATCAGTACCCATATGGGAGTGTTCCCAGGTTGTAGCTGTGATTTTTCCAGAATGACCAGATTGTTCTGAATGGGAGTATGTTGTTAGTCATGTTATTCTTCCGGTAGTGATGTCGTGATTCTAGGGTTAGTGCAGAACCATCCAGAATAATTACAATATTTAGATGGGTTAGTAATGTCTCTTAAATCATGTAACCTAAAAATAATTTGAGTCCGATGCCAACATGATATGGCAGAAATACTGCTGTTTTTCTGAAAACTGATTGTGAAACCTGAAAATCTGCATCCTTCTTCTTACAACGAGTATGCAAAATTTGGAGATACTTTTATTTTTTACAAAGGTAGATAGGATTGCCATTTATTTCTATTTAGATATATCAACATTCACCCATATGGAAATACGCAGGTCATTTGCTTGTTATAATTTGACTATTTACATTACTTTTGACTTAATGGGGCATAAAACTTTCATGGTACAGGTGAGGGGGCTGTTGATACACAGAACGTTAAGATCCGGCGTGGGCTCTCTGCGGGTTAGACGTGCAGTCCACATATTTGATATCACTTTCAGTGACCAGTGCTAGCATGAGGGGAATGCAGGGCCAGCACTTGGCCTACTTTTTAACTAGTGTAATAACTCGTCATACTGTTCAATGTTTGCTTCTTAAAATAACCACAATTAAGTTGTCCTGCCCTTGTACTTCATGAGACCTAGTCTTTCAGCTGTCTGTTAGGTCATTCTGTTTACTGAGATGGGTGTCAGAAACTTTGAGCCTAAATTCTCAACCAGATCTAGTCTTGTCTCTTGTCTTGATTAGATTAATTCGGAAACAGTGCAGTCCACAGTAGCTGGAGGGGATGAGGAATTGCCTTAAATAACTGTTGTTCACTCAACTCTTACTTAGACTGTGAGTTGTCAGCCCCCCAGACTGTAAGCTCCTCAAGGGGCGAGAACCATGTTTTCTTATGTCATGTAAACTCTGAGGTGCTTGGTAGCACTCTACCCTGCAGAGCACTCACTACCTTTTGTTTGATGTCACAGACAAAACCTAAAAAAATTATCCCTCAAAAACCTAATATTAAAATGTAGCAAAACTGAAAAAAAAAAAAAAAAAAAAAAAAAAAGGGGGAAAAAA